GGCAAGGTGGGAGGAGGGGTAGATAATAAGAAGGAAACCTTCTTTGAAGCGTTTGGTACTGAACATATGTGTCAAATTCTGTGCAGTTAGGGACTATTATTACAAAGTACAATAAAGTGACTCTGATTTTATTTGTTTTAAAAAAAAAATATTTATATCTTTGTGCTAATACTGAATGGAGTAAAAATTCTGTGCTCTCTATTGTATAATTATTGGCAATGTAGCACTGGCCTGTGATTTTTTTATAAAACATTGGCTGTGTTCTACCAGGGTTTGTACAGTCTTGTATACACTGGAAAGTTCTCAAATTTGAAAGGTGTCCTGGAGAGTCTTAAAAAATGAACAGTCTGCATAAAAAGCCATTACTGCTGCAGTGTAGTCTATTAAAATCATTAAAATTTAAATACTATTGAATACTTTGTTTGCTTGGAATTAATTTTTGCTATTTTTGCCGAAGGAATGATTCAGTAATAATAAAATCCAGCGAATATACCTTTTTTCCTATATTTTCATTCAACTTGTCAAAAATCAGTGAAAATAAATTCCATACAAAGCACCAAAAATGTCTTTTCAGCGAAAATTAATTCCAGCTAAAATAAAGTATTTTACAGTAACTGGATTATCTGGATGATAAGCACGAAAAAACAAGCACCCTCATATAACAAGCATTGACAATAAAAACACTTGCAAATGACAAAATCTTGTTTTGTTAAAAAAGTTCTGGAATTTTATTTCACTTCAAGTGTATGTGTATAGGAAGGTTAACATTAGTCTTCAATGATCAAATTTTTTTCTAGGGTCATTCTAAAGGTCCTTTCTTGATCAGTGCTCCCTTGTCAACTATTATCAACTGGGAAAGAGAGTTTGAATTCTGGGCTCCTGACCTGTATGTTGTAACATACTGTGGAGATAAGGACAGCAGATCTGTAATACGAGAACATGAATTCTCTTTTGATGAAGATGCAGTTCGAGGTGGTAAAAAAGCATTTAAAATGAAGGTAAGTTGTGTGGATGCAGAGGTGGTAAGAGGCATCATTGTCTCAATGATCTTGTAAAAATATATTATAGTTTAATTACTGTAAAACACTATGAAATATATACTTACCAATTTATCAAATTTGGCTCAATGTACAAATTTAACAGAATTTCAATTTAACTTACCGTAAGTGCCAACAATCTGTAAAAGAACTCATCGAGCACCGTTGTCAACTTTTGGCACGTGCTACAAAATGATTTTGTATTGTCTGCTCACATGAAATGTTAATATAAATTGAAAAAACCTTTGAATCAAAAACTAAAAGTGATATCTGAAACTGTCTTAAATTAGCAAAATTACAGTTCAAGCTAAATTACCTAAAATAACATGCCATCTAAATAACTTGTTTTACAAAATGATATATAGTAGATAATATTTGGTATTTGACGTCCGAGTAACTATTCAATATAGTTGGATGTTTTGAGTAATGGCCCTTTATTGATAGCATAAAGAAAATGTTTGTTATATTTATACAGTAAAACCTGTCAAAACAGACCCCTGGATAAACTGACCCACTGTCAGAACCGACCGATTTATGCAGCCCAAAAATTTCTCAATAGACCCCTATGTTAAAACAATCTGTGAAATCCGACCACTGTCTACTCCGAACACAGCCCGCATTGATCAGTCCCAAGTCCAATATTCACAATGAATACATCGGCCATCCGACCAGTTGCATCACATCTGCTGTCTAGTAATTTGTCCAACCTAAAAAGTGTGCATTGTGTTCAATTTACCGTGAACGTCACAAAACCAATACCAAATCTCACACTACAAGTAACATCCCTCGTAAAACAATGGCAACTTATTAAGTTTCTCACACCACACGTTCAGACATCGCGTAGTGTCTGGACATTATAATGACACCGGATATAAACAAATGATCGGTTACATCGAGTTTTCTTCTTTTCATAACGATTCTGGTCGGTAATTTTGTGCTTTTGAAGCCACGCCCACCCTGGATAAACCGACTTCCTCTGAAAACAGACCATACATTATGGGCCCACTCAAAGTTGGTTTTGACAGGTTTTACTGTAGTAACTACATCTTTATAAGGTAGTATAAAATAACTTGCAAGCTAACTAAAGTGTTTATTTATTTTCTTATATACAGAAAGAAAATTCTATTAAATTCCATGTGTTGCTAACATCATATGAATTAGTCAGTATTGACCAAGCAACACTTGCATCTATCGACTGGGCAGCATTGGTAGTAGATGAAGCACATCGATTGAAGAATAATCAGTCAAAGGTAATTAATTACCTTCTCAGTTTTCCCTTGTAAACAAAATTGAGTGGTATTTCTGATTGTTCATTGTCTACTCATATTTTACAACATCTTGAAAACTGCTAGCCCCATTGCTTTGATGTCTTAATCATTTTGTGCCATCTTCAATTCTCTAATTTAGATGAATATTTTTGTCTATTAAATTTTTAACTTTTTGGAAAATTGTTTGATCCATTGTTTTGATGTCTTGTATGTACCTTAGATGGACCTCTGCCAGATTTGTTCATTTTGTGAAAAAAAATATCATATATTCTCCTTTTTTTAGCAAATATTTTGTCATTTTTGATAGAAAATAATATTGTCAACAATTTCTTTTAAGCTGTTTAGCTGATTTTTTTGATGTGTGGTATGTATATTCCTTGGATTGACCACCATCAAACATGTTCATCTCTTGTAGCAATATCTTAAATCTACTTCTGAATTTGAATTGGGTTACTTTCAGAATATGCTATATCTTAGCTATAGCTTAATTTTATATTAATGTTTTGTATTCTTATTATTTTCATATTTCAGTTCTTTAAAACTCTTTCTTCGTACAAGATTGGACATAAGTTGCTGTTAACAGGAACACCTCTGCAGAACAATTTAGAGGAGTTGTTCCATTTACTAAACTTTCTTAGCAGCGAGAGATTTGCGTAAGTAACTTAAAACTGATATTAATTAACATTCATTGCTAAGAGTGTATAGAATCAAAAAATTATTTCATATTCATGGTTATAAGACAGCTGAAGTTTTCTGATGTTTTTAGTCCCCGTTCGAACATAGTCCGAAAACGGGGACTTATGGTTTGCCCTGTGTGCGTCCATGCGTCCGTGATCACCTGTATCTCGAACATGCATGGACCGATTAAGTTCAAACTTTGCTCATACATCACACATTATATGGGACATATGCACATGCATTTTTTCATGATCCGATTAACGATAGCCGAATAGCGACCATTTTAAGGCTGAAAATGCATCAAAATCGCACATTATCACCATTCCGGACCCGGATCTCAGTTATGCATGGACAGATTTTGTTCAAATTTGGTACATACATTAAACATAATAGGACCTTTTGGATCGGGTTTGAAATGGCCAACTGGCGGCCATTTTGTTTTAAAGAATTCAGTTCTGGATCCGTATCTGAGACATGCCTGGATTGATCGAGTTCAAACTTCACACACACATGTCACAAATATGTATTAACGATTGCCAAATGGCGGATGCTGTAAGGCCGAAAATGCATTGAAATCGCACATTTTCACCATTCCGGAACCGGATCTCAGTCATGCATGGATGGATTTTGTTCAGATTTAGTGCATACATTAAACATAATATAAGCTTGATGTGCTTACCAATTTTTCTTCAGATCAAGTTCAAAATGGCCGACTGGCGGCCATTTTGTTTTAAAGAATTTAGTTTTTCATCCATATCTCGGACATGCCTGGACAGATCAAGACCACACTTCACACACATCATACAATGTGTTGTACATATGCAGTTGCATTTCGGATCAGACGAAAGTGGTCTGAGATTTTGGTCATGATCTGCTTTGAATGTATATGTCACTCAAATATGAACGGAACGGGGACGTGTCATTGACAATGACTTGTTAATTTTCACACATTTTCCTTGTGATATAACAGTTGTTACCTCGCTGCTCATGTCATGCACAATTATATATTCTTGCTTTTAAATTCTGTTTTGTTCATTACAGTAACCTACAAATGTTCTTGGAGGAATTTGAAGACATTTCTAAAGAAGAACAGATTAAGAAACTTCATGATTTACTGGGAGCACACATGTTGCGACGTCTCAAAGCTGAT